TCTCTAAAATCTGCAATACTGTTAATTTAAATCTACAGGTGGGGTTGAAGTAAAATTTGGATGCATTTGAAGAGTATTATTTTGACAAAAGGGCAGACAAAGGTTCATAACATTGAAATGTTCTCGATACACTTTAAATAATAAAAGTTGAGATATCAGCAAGTTCATTTATATACCATTGTAGTACATTTATCAGCTTCTGCAAAATTTCCCACATAGGTTCCTTACTCTGCCATTGATTTATTAGCGATATTAAAAATCTTTTAATTCCTTTCCCATCTCAGTCCAAATCTTAAATGCAGTTTCAAATGCAACATTTGAAATATTGTCTAAATTTTATAATATAAGAAATACCAGTATTGAAAGCTTGCATTGGGAATAAAATATGCAACGTTTCAGCTGCTGTGTCCAACAGAAGAATCTCCAATAAATTTTCAGGAAACAATTATTTACAATGATTAACCAACTACAAAGTATTAACACAGATAGTACAATACAGTTTGTAACTGACAAATCTAGGTGGCTAACAAGTGGATTAACTGTATTCTGAAGCAAAGTTTAATTCATGGCTGTATGGTGATGATCCGTGGGGTGAGCATAGTTCCTAGTGTTGCTGGTGCTATTCGCAAAATTAACTTACGAACAGCACTAGTTGGTTGAAGTTGGATGGGGGAGAGACAGCTGCTCGCGGTTTAGGTTCCACAACAAAAAAGTTTGGGATAAATATAAAAATGATAATATGTTGTTTAAAAAACCTTTCTCTGATGTCACCGCCCGACTTCCAACAAAGCGACATCTCCTCCTGACCGGGGGGGGAGGGCAGGGGGGGGCATCCACAGCAAAGGTAACGGGGGAGCGGCGTCACCGAGCTCCCGGGGGGGGGGCCCGGGCTCTGCCTTCCCCTCACTGCCGGGGGGGGTCTGCCTTCCCCTCACTGCCGGGGGGGTCTGCCTTCCCCTCACTGCCGGGGGGGGGGGGTCTGCCTTCCCCTCACTGCCGGGGGGGGGGGCTCTGCCTTCCCCTCACTGCCGGGGGGGGGGGCTCTGCCTTCCCCTCACTGCCGGGGGGGGGGGCTCTGCCTTCCCCTCACTGCCGGGGGGGGGGGCTCTGCCTTCCCCTCACTGCCGGGGGGGGGGGCTCTGCCTTCCCCTCACTGCCGGGGGGGGGCTCTGCCTTCCCCTCACTGCCGGGGGGGGGGGGGCTCTGCCTTCCCCTCACTGCCGGGGGGGGGGGGGGGCCGGGCTCTGCCTTCCCCTCACTGCCGGGGGGGGGGTCTGCCTTCCCCTCACTGCCGGGGGGGGGGGGCTCTGCCTTCCCCTCACTGCCGGGGGGGGGGGGGGCTCTGCCTTCCCCTCACTGCCGGGGGGGGGGGGGCCCGGGCTCTGCCTTCCCCTCACTGCCGGGGGGGGGGGGCTCTGCCTTCCCCTCACTGCCGGGGGGGGGGGCTCTGCCTTCCCCTCACTGCCGGGGGGGGGGGGGGCCGGGCTCTGCCTTCCCCTCACTGCCGGGGGGGGGGGTCTGCCTTCCCCTCACTGCCGGGGGGGGGCTCTGCCTTCCCCTCACTGCCGGGGGGGGGGGGGGGGCTCTGCCTTCCCCTCACTGCCGGGGGGGGGGGGGGGGGCTCTGCCTTCCCTCACTGCCGGGGGGGGGGGCTCTGCCTTCCCCTCACTGCCGGGGGGGGGGCTCTGCCTTCCCTCACTGCCGGGGGGGGGGCTCTGCCTTCCCCTCACTGCCGGGGGGGGGGGCTCTGCCTTCCCCTCACTGCCGGGGGGGGGCCCGGGCTCTGCCTTCCCCTCACTGCCGGGGGGGGGGGGGGCGCCACTCGGTGCCATCTTTACAAAACTCAACAGACACAGAGACCCCCGAACTCACACACACACACACACACAGCGGAGACTGGGGGGCGAGGCCCTGCGGCTGACCCCGCGCTCTCTCTCTCTCATACACCAACATCAAACGGCAGCCGAGAGGCCTCCCTTACCGGAGATGGCGCGGGCGGGCGGTCAGTCACTTACACCACACGCGCTGCTTTGGACTGTACGGCGGCTCGTGTAACATTAACGGTTGCGCTGCTCCCGCAGTGACTGACTAATGACTGACTGACTGACTGACTGACTGAGGCGCTGCTCCTCGCCCGCGCGCGCGCTCTCTCTTTCTCTCTCTCGGGAAACAGCTGAAGCCTCGCACCGGAACTCATTCACACGCGCTGCCGCCCAGCGCCAGCGTCGCCTTCCGCGCAACCCCCCGTGCGCACGTCAGGAGCCGGCATGCGCGCGCACTCCTCAGGCCGGGCAGGACCGGGACTACTTTCTCAATGGCCTGAACATCCCCTGGACATTCCAGAGTCACTCAGCACAGGAGCCCATCGTGTCTGTGTGGCTCTTTGAACAGAGCTATTCCAAATCAATCCCTCTCCACATAGCCCTGCAAACTAGTCCTCTCCAAATAATTATCTACTTCTCTCTTAAAGGTTGTTATCGAATGGGCTTCCACCAGCCTTTCAGCCAATGCATTCCCGATCCCAACAACTTTGTTGGGTCTTCGACTCGCAGAGCCAACACACGTCAAGGATCACAGAGAAGGTTTTGAATGGAGAAGGCAACCTTTTTGTAGCATTCCTCCTTATAACCTGAAGTATTAATTAGACTCAAACCTCTACAATATAATGGGGTCGCAACGTATTACAACATTTGTTGCTGATACTATGAATTTGAAATATGTTGAAGAAAAGCATGTGTAGTAGGAAACAGTAGCAGGGTGGTTTAGGATGCAATCCTTTCACCTTGCCTCTTTCCTCTTTCCATCATGTTCCAGAGCAGGGATGGCCAACTTGTGGCCCATGGGCCACGTGTGGCACATATGACTATTTTACACATGCATTTTGCAGCCTGCAAGCTGCTCATAGACCGCAAGCTGGCCATCTCTGCTTTAGAGTATGCATACCAGAATGAGAGTTCTGCACACGCATGGAAATTTCCCTTTGTTTAAAATTGCGAATGCGCGCTCCAGAGGATTGAGTGTTGGTTTTCTGCAGTTCTGTGCTGGAACTGTTTTGACAAACAGCAAATTCTTCATCCAAACATGTTTTAGCAAGCCTCTTCAATATAACTTCATATTGTAAATATTTTTGAACATAATAACTTAATACTATATTTACCCTTGAAAATTGCATAACAACTTTATACAGCAGTTCAGTAGCAAAGAGTATTTGTTTTAGAGGCAGAAAAAGTGCACTTCTATTACAAAACCTTGGACATTTATTCTGCATCTAAATTGTACTTCCCTTAGCTCAAAAGTTCTGTTTCCAGGACTAACGTTATCTACCTTATCAATGTCAAATTATTATTCATTCCCAACCCTCCTGCATCAAGCTAGCTTATGACATATCATCTGTAGGCGACAGGGTAGGCTATTTTTGTAATCATTCTTTGCCTTCGAATATTTATTGTGTCTTTTGTTTTTCTTCGTTGCTCCTTTTTTCAATGTCAACAACAACAACAACAAAATTACACTTATAGAGCGCGTTTCACGTCGGGAGGACGTCCCAAAGCGCTGAACAGTCAGATGTCGGGGCCCGAGCATGGGGGAGGGGTGGTGTAGGGGTGAGGGAAAGCAGAGAGGTGGGAGGGCGACCAAAGGCATGGTCGAAGAGCAGGGTCTTGAGACCGGCCTTGAAGGATGCAAGGGAGGAAGCGAGGCAAAGGGACCTTGGGATGGAGTTCCAGAGTGTGGAGGCAGAGAAGCTGAAAGCCCGGCCACTGATGGTAAGGCGGGTCGGGTGGGAGACATGGAGCAGGCTGGAGTTGGATAAGCGGAGGGAGCGGGCAGGTTGGTAGGGATTCAGCAGGTCAGAGAGGTAGGAGGGGGTCTATTCTTGTTAATACAAAAGCAAGAGAATACATTTATAGATATTCACTTGGAGACATCCTTCCAACGTGATAAGGTGCTATGCAAAATACAAGTTATTATAATTATTATAATTATTATATTTGGTTACAACAGTCAAGTATTATTTGAACTAGATTTACATATGATAGACTGAGAAAGAGTGAGAAAATATGAAAGTTTGTCCATAGCTGTTGATTATTATATTGACACAATCCTAAAACACATTGCTATTCTCCATTCACCAGTTAGAGATACATATTAGGAACAATTTACAATAATAAATAATAATCCTTATATTTCGTATAGAGGCCTAACTTGTCTCAAAATGCCTCACAGGAATACTCTAAATTGTAGTGTCTGCGCATCTTGTAGGTGAACGTAGAAACCAATTTGCGCACAGAGATGTCTCACAAACAGCCAATGAAGTCTTACAAACAGTCAACAAAGTAATGATGAGATTTTATTTCATGACTTCACATTGCGCAGCAGAATATGCAACGCAAGTAGGAAGTGTGACATTAAAGTCATTCAATATTTGATGCAGATAATTGTCAAAGACCTGTAGATGGGTATACTCCCCTCCTCCCAAAAAGGGTACTAAAGCCTATAAATGAAGAACCTCAAATGAATTATTTGGCATTAATCTATAGGTTCCCGGGATTAGGTTCAGTATAAAAGAGAGCGGTATCCTCTGCTCCTGCCTGACTGTCCAGTGGGCAGGGTGGACAGAAATTACAGTATATTTACAGTCCAAAGTCAACCAAACACAACAACAACAACACGATTACATTTGTACAGCGCCTTTCATGTCGGGAGGATGTCCCAAGACACTGGGAAAAAAACCACAAGCTCCAAAGTAGCCCAATATTATGTGTTGCCTCCTACGCAAAGCACAGTAGCCAATGTAGGTTAGTGCTTTTGAAACTGTGCAAGAAAAGGTCGGGTGGGGGGGGGGTGGGATATTTTGCAGGTTTAAATAATTTTAAAAAAATGAGGTACCCGCCCAAAGTACAAGAAAACCCGCCCAAATGGGCGTGAACCCGCCCAACGGATCCACAAGGACGGACGTCACCAGCCGCCAGCTCAGTGCGCAGGTGCGGCCGGTTGCCTGGTGACGAAAGGATCAACACGGGGTTGCGGGTGTCGCTCCCTCGCGGCCGCGGGGCTGTCAGCTCCACAGGACCTCCACCACCACCACCACCACACACACTGTCTGTACAGAGGGGCACAGGAGCACAGCCCACACATCACATCGATGCGTGATGCCTGGTGTGCTGCAGAGACCCCTCAAACTTGTCTATGAGGGCAAGTTTGTGGACAGGGCACCCCAGTTAAAGGCAGTAAGTATGGTTGGTGGGGGGGGGGGGGGGGGGGGGTGAAAGGCTCATCCAAATGTAATTGTGTTGTTGTTGTTGTGTTTGGTTGACTTTGGACTGTAAATATACTGTAATTTCTGTCCACCCTGCCCACTGGACAGTCAGGCAGGAGCACAGGATACCGCTCTCTCTCATACTGAACCTAATCCCGGGAACCTATAGATTAATGCCAAATAATTCATTTGAGGTTCTTCATTTATAGGCTTTAGAACCCTTTTTGGGAGGAGGGGAGTATACCCATCTACAGGTCTTTATAATAATAATAATAATAATAATAATAATCCTTGCATTTGATATAGCGCTTTTCACGTCGGGAGGACGTCCCAAAGCGCTTCACAGAACACACTGTAAAGTGAATTGACTGTATATTTGTGGGCGAACGCGGCAGCCAATTGCGCACAGCAATGTCCCACAAACAGTCGTAGATTGAAAATGACCAATTTATTATTGTTTTTGGTTTTGGAGGGATTATTATTAGGCTCTGTGTGGAGTAAGGAAATTTACCCAAGATTTCGCCCTCTGCCTGGAATTGAACTTGGGTCTCTCGCTTGCAAAGCGAGTGCTCTGAGCTACAGGACTCCACTTTGTAGGTTACTTTCTCCCTCTCTACAATTTGGAATATTTGATCATATTTTAGTCCCGCAGTGTCTTGCCAGTTGGCAGATTGGTTGACAATCAATGGCCATTTTCCCACCACACTGATTCTTTCTAATTTGCATTAACTTACTCTCGTTTGTGTTCATCCAGTAATGTCAAGGTTTGTGAACCACAATTGGATTTTAGTAATTTGTGGGACACCGCTGTGCATAACTGTCTGCCACGTTTCGCCCATAAAATACAGTCGATCCCCATTACAGTATATTCTGTGAAGTGCTTTCAGATGTCTCAATGACGTGGTAAGGTGCTATACCAAATGCAAGGATTATTATTAATATTATGAACTTTTGTTTTACAGGCGGGAAAATTAGTACCTCTTTCATCAACCGCATCAGAATGTCTCAAGGAAATACAGCCCAGGGTACGTAAATACAGATGTGCAACATTTTGAGTAGTATAAACGGAAAATGAGTTACCTCATATCCTTTACGTGAACAAAGATGGATTTGTATAACATTCTTTATTATCCATGATTCCCAATATGTGTATTTTTTGATAAAAGTACAATATAATAATAATAGTCTTTGGATTTGGTATAGCGCCTTATTACGTCTTTGAGACTTTTCAAAGTGCTTCATAGAATATACTGCAAAGTGAATTGACTGTATATTTTGTGGGCAAAACGCGGCAGCCAATGGCGCACAGCAGTGTCCCATAAACAGTCGTGGATTACGTGACCAAATTATTATTATTTTTTATTTATTTATTTTTTAGAAGGATTAGTACCTCCGGTAAAGCGATCCGCCAATCGACTAACAACTGGGTTCCTACTTACTGCTAGGTAAACAGAGGCATATGGGTAAGGAAACTTGCTCAGTGTTTCGCTCTGTCCGGGAATTGAACCCAGGTCCTCTTGCTTGTGAGGCGAGTGCTCAAATCACTAAACTACAGGATACAGTAGTTAATATATTTGTGTGTTTTTTAATTAATGTCCCACTTATAAATAGTAAAGGGATTGCATTTAGTACTGTTTTAAAACATCCAAGGGTGGTTCATTAGACAGTACTGGAACTTTTAATTATATTTTAAGTTTAAAAGTTACAGTCATAGAATTATACAGCACAGAAGGAGGCTATTTGGCCCATCGTGTCTGTGCCGGCTCTTTGAAAAGACCTATCCAATTCTTCCCACTCCCCCACTCTCTCCCCATAGCCCTGCAAACTTGTCCTGCCCAAATAATTATCTACTCTTAAAAGTTGTTATCTAATCGGCTTCCACCACCCTTTCAGGCAATGCATGCCAGATCCGAACAATTCGCTGTGTGAAAAAATTTCTCCTCACCTCCCCTCTATTTCTTTTGACAACTATTTTAAATTGGTGCCCTCGGGTTACCAACCCACCCGCCATTTGAAATAATTTCTCCTTGTTCACCCTCATACAGTGTTAGTGACTGGAAATGTACTGCATCCATGTTGATGGATTTCAGATACTGCAAATTGAATCAATGAGATATCATTTGCACATGTGGATTTGTTTAGTTTTATGCTTGTTACTTTTTACATGACTTCTTTTACTGAATACAGTTGGTGTGCATTATTAATCAGACTATGGTACAAAATGAATGGCTAAGTTCTGGCGGCTAAGCTTTTCGTTGACTGCAAGTGTTATCTATACTATTTTCTTTGCTATCAGTAATGGACAACTTGAGTTACAAATTCATCAATTATTAATGAGAATTAACATTCAATCAGGGTAACCTAATTCTGCGGCCTCCTTGTCTGCAAATTACTCTTTGTGTGGAATTCATACACCTCTTTATAATGCAAACACATATTCCTTTACACTTTTGACCCTCTCACTCACTTCCACAAAGCTTCCATTCATATAATGTCAAACCCATTCACAAACACAGTACTCATATACAGTACATGTATTTGCAGTCACACAAAGTTGCATTGTTGGTCTTATAGTCACATTCGCATGTCTTCTTGCATGTACTATTCCATTTATTTGGGCACACACTGAGTTTGCCAAACCTTTTTACCATGGCAGCGGGCCCTTCAAGCACTCTCTCTCCTACTGGTGGAGTCCTGTAGCTCAGTGGTTAGAGCACTCGCTTTGCAAGTGAGAGACCTGAGTTCAATTCCAGGCAGGGCGAAACCTTGGGCAAGTTTCCTTACTCCACACGCCTAATAATAATCCCTCCAAAAAACCAAAAACAATAATTAAATTGGTCATTTTCAATCTACGACTGTTTGTGGGACATTGCTGTGCGCAATTGGCTGCCGCGTTCGCCCACAAATATACAGTCAATTCACTTTACAGTGTGTTCTGTGAAGCGCTTTGGGACGTCCTCCCGACGTGAAAAGCGCTATATCAAATGCAAGGATTATTATTATTATTATTATTATTACTGGCCTTGTTACTAACTTGTTCCCGCTGCGGCTTCCGAAATTCTAGGTGAGTCAGCATCTCATTGCCTCGCCTGATGAGCTGCCACTGCTGAAACATCTTCTCAAAATGTCCTGTGAAGTGTCGTTACTGTGTATCTGTAGATGAACACAGCTGCCAATTTGCATCAGTGCTATCTCACAAACAGCCATGAAGTAAATGACTTTTTTTTTATTTGGGGAGATTGTTGGCCAGAACAGCGGGAGAAACTCCAGAGTACACTTGGGAGTATTGTTACGGCTTAAACAGCTAAAATTGTATAGCTTGTGTTTGAAAGCATTGTCTAATAAGGGTCTCTAATAAGAATTGCAGTCGAACCACCCTATCCATTAGGGCTTTGGCCTGCTTGATTAACAGGGGTGTGGAGAATCCTTACTCTCAGTGACTGGTTTGCCCCTCCAAATCTGGCTGAGGAGCCAGGTTGGTTGAGCTGTCATCAGCAGTGCCTTAGATTACCGAGGACCCTCCTGGCTCAGGAACTGCACTACCGAGACCCATGTAGAGGATTGACTTGATTCTGGCATTCCGTGACCAAACATGCCACCTTTTTTGGTTGGCCAACAACATAATCATAGAAAACACAAGATATGCCATAAATCGAGAACTCAAACAAGAAATATTTATTTTGTTGGCCACCACTGCTATAAATCTTGAATTGGGGCTTAATTGAGCAGATATCTGTACTCTCTTAAACAGGAATAGTTTGTATGGTGCATTAGGACCTCCTGGAGGAAGAGGACAAACAGAATTACTGGATCTTCAGAACTTTCAGTTAGACTTTTGAAACCTGTTTCAAACTTAAATGAGCAATGAAATGATACATCCAATCTGAAGTTTTTACTGCATACTCTTTTTACTGCATACTCTTTTTACTGCATACTCTTTTTATACTCTTCCAGCCTATTACACCAGCTGTGGTTAAAAAGTTCACAAGCAGCAGTCACCCTAAACCTGGTGCTATCAGAGTTTTCTATGGCAAAGCGAATGATCCAGTTGTACCATTGGGACTGAGCCATGGCATTATTTCTGAAATCTCCGATAATGTAAGTACTTGTTGAAATATTACTTGATTACTTTGATTTCATTATTAGTGGCTGAATTACTCCTTATATTATATTTGTGTACGGAAATTACTAATTAAATATATTCAGTATTTTTCTTGTCAGGTGGGAAAAGTTGTATAACTCTGCCATTATTCATTGCCTTGTATGAAGGCACTATATAAATGCAAGTTGTTGTTGTACAGGCTTAATATGGAATTTAATTGTGTTTGACCTCAAATAGCTATATTTACATTTTCTGGATGACTATTGCAACATCATCATTCAGCCAAACCTAACCTGTCTCATGACCATCTAGACCCAGCTTGTGTTCCCTATTAGTGGGTGAACAATCCAATGATTGGTGAATTCTGCTTCACAATGATAGGAAAGTTTGAATCAATAAACAAAGTTCAATTAGTAAATCAATATTTTTACCTGCTTTCAAATTTGGGAGATTTCACTTTTAGAGTGACCCAAATTTGGATTTATGCAAAGTCTGAAACTGAAGACCAATCTCCACCTGATTGTGAGGGATGAATAAGTACTGTTGATAATCAGAAACATATGCACAGGTAGACATGCCGGGAATACACAATTATACTTTTATACCCATCTCTCAAGCAGAAAATTGGGGTTTGGAAACATACCAGTTGTATGGATATATTGCTCACCTTGGAATCCCAGGAATAAGAAACTGACTACTAGTCTCATAATACATTAGTTAAGGCATTGTAACTTATTTAAAGCCATTATTAAAAAAGTCTCAGTAATTCATTTTACAGTAGGTATGTGATTAATGGTCCAGCTTCAGGCACCTATCTGCTGATAAGTTGCAAAAACAATGGTGGGACTGTAAAATGGCAATGCACATTCATCCTCATTTGTTCAACCTCTGCATATGCAGATAAGTTGTAATAGAGAGAAATGGCACTCATTTGTGTTGGCTATGGAAGATCTGAAAATAATAACTGTATATGCTTTGTTGGTTGTACTTCAAAATGGTATTCGAGAATGGAACACGGGATGTAGATTAGTAATTGTCCAGGCAACAAGTGAGATTGGAAAGTGAAGTATAAAACACATTGGAATTCAAACTGAGCATACTGTAAAACTTTTCAATTTAATTTTTATTTCGCTCAGGTTAAAACATTGGTAAATCCCCCCATCAGGACTTGGGTTCAGCAAAACATTTTAAATGAACATGAAAGACTTTATTCAACCAATCAGCGAGCACCATTGGGCAAGTCGTATGATCAAGCTTCAAGATTACCCAAAGGGGTAGATGTGTACAAAACCACGTTTGGTAAAAAATTACTCAGAGGTACGAACAGAGTAATGAATCAGGAAGCTCTCTTAAATATTTTAGATATCCTGAAAATTAATTCTGCACTCAAGCTTGAATCATTAAAACTTTGGACTACGGTTGTTTGTGTCAGCCTGGCTCAGCTGGTAGCACTCTCACCTGGAGTAGCAAAATTGTGGCTTAAGCTCCTGAATTGGTACTTGAGCTCAGAGCCCAGGCTGACACTCCAGTGCAGTACTGGGGATACATTACATTATCAAAGATACCGTCCTTCAGATAAGACATTAAACTGTGGTCCTATCTGTCTGTTCAGGTGGATGTTAAAGATCCTATGCCTGATTTTTAAAAAAAGGAAGATTTCCCTCATGTCCTGGCCAATGGTCCCCCAGATACAATTGGTCAAATTGGCTCCCATGGCAGCTTACAAAATACACAGTCACTACTACACAAAACATCCTGTAATGCCCTTTGATACATTTTGGCAATGTGATAAGGTGTTATATATTGCAAGGATTATTATTGTAGATGGGTTGAAAGTACAACATATCAGCAGATTTATAATGTGATAACTACCACATACAATCTATTCTGAAATATCACAGTTTTCTATTCAGTCCTAAGGACTGGTTGTGGAACTGGTCTCCCTACCCCTGCCCCCCACAAATACTATTTTTCTCCAAAACCAAATTGATAAACCTGTGCTATTTTGAATATTGCTGAACAGAACTGATGTATTGTTTTGATCCTGCAGCCAGGATCTGAGTACTGTTTCACAGGACACTGAGTTAGTTAAATTGGTATCCTATTTACGCTGCACCCAAATGTCAACTGACAACCTCCATGATTAAGGCCAACAATGAATTAAAGATGTTTTGGGGCCCAGCCAATAAACTGAGGCTGAATGGATTGACCTCTCCAATCATCTGGCACCTGCTGCCGTTACAAACCCGCTCAGGAATAATAATGAGCCCTGATCCTCTCCCCTTGATCACATCGACCACAAATTGTTTGAGGCTCTGCTCCAACCATCTCAACTAATTATTTAGCATGTACTCTGAGTTGTAGACCTCAGAACTGTTCTACTGTTTTCAACACAGAAGATCGAGTTCATACTTAAAGAGAACCTAGCATTGATGGTTACAGAGGAGTCTGGTTTCTGAGGTCAAAGACAGGAGTAGACAGGTCAAAGCCACTAAATATGGTAAAATATATCTTTAATGCTACAACATTGAAGTTGCCAAATCTATATGGAAATCTTGGTAATGATTTGGCTAAATTGGATATTGTATGAGCAACAATATCTGTAGACAGTTCCTTTGGTCAGATGGTTCCAGAATGGTTCAAACCCGACATAGCTGTTTTGGGATATGCACCCTACTTTTCTTCCTTCCTGTAGCATTTACCCAATTGCTAAAGAAGGTGGATTCTAGGGAAACTGCATGAAGGTGGATTCTCCTTGGAGAGAATGTTCATGAAACAAAAAGTGTTTTCCATTTCTTCCAGGTGTGCTTTGTCCAGCACTATACTATTAGAGGTATTGGAGGTGGGGGAGTTAAAATATCTTCCACGATCTAATACGTTGGTGAAATAGGTTTGATGCGATTAATGACCTTTGCCTGTATCTGTGTTCCTATTAGGTACTAGATATTATTTCCTTTTAAGACCATACTTGAAATCTTATTTCAGATATCACTGCCAGAGAACTTGTAAATCCACAAAAATCATGGGCACAGGTGGATAAAGAAGCACAAGAGGGACATCCATTATATGTTTTAACACACAATGATTACAAACCCGGTAAGGAATAATTCACATGTACAGTATAATTCTGTTGTTTCAAATACTGGATTTGTTTTTACATGCATATTGTAATGGGGTTGACTACGGAATATACCATTGTGAACCAGCTAAGGAAAAAACCTGGGATACAGCCACAATATGCAATCAGAACATCACCTGGAAATGCTATGGAAGGATATGGGGCAAGACTTGAGTTACAGATCAGCCATGATCTTGTAGAATGGCGGAACAAGCTCGAGGGACTGAATAGTCTATTCCTGTTTCCATGTTTTTATAAAAATAATAATAATAATCCTTGCATTTGATATTGCACCTTATCACATCTTTGAAACGTCTCAAAGCATTTCACAGAATATACTGGAAAGTGGATTGATTGTATTTTGTGGGCAAAATGCATGTTTCTATGTGTGATGTAGACTCCAATGTAGTCTAATGTTTAGTAGCACAGCATAAAATGTTGAATGACAAATCCAAGGTAATCTTAATAACATGTAATAAATAGCCTTGTATCAGAGCTAAAGATATAGAACAAAAAATTGTGGCAAGGTAAGTTTATTTCTCATTTCCATTTTTTAGTACTTTTCTCCCACTTGGCACTATATATTTCTCACGTGCTTTCATTTAAAAACAGTAAATGGCTTTGAACATAATTGATTGGGTTGAATGATTTTCCTATCCCTACTTCGAGAAGTACAATACTTCACTTGGACATCTCCCTGAGGATTCCTTAAAGATCAAGAATTTGCTGTGAGAAACAGTGAGAGATAATAATCCCTCCAAAAAAACAAAACAATAATAAATTGATCATTTTCAATCCATGACTGTTTGTGGGACATTGCTGTGCGCAATTGGCTGCTACGTTCGCCCACAAATATACAGTCAATTCACTTTACAGTATATTCTGTGAAGCGCTTTGGGACGTCTAGAAGACATGAAAAGCGCTATATCAAATGCAAGGATTATTATTATAACCCATGTCTTATTAGTCCATGTTGCATTCATAAACTTAGCAATACTTCTCGCAACCAGATGACTGTAATTATTTATTTTCGTAAGAAGAAAACATTTGTTTTCTTTAGCTCCATCCTGGAGTCCCCCTGACTCCCTCTCTCTGTTCGTCCCCTCATTCAAGGTACATCTCAAATACCTCTTTTGGCCATTTTTCCCCTCCCACCTCCAGCTCAGGTGCCCATCCAATATTGTCGAGTGTTTTGAGACTTCCACTTGACGTGAATGGCACTATATAAATGTAAATTGTATTCTACAACAGAATGGAAGGGAATAGAAGGGTATGAAGGATAGGAAGTGGGGAATTAGGATGTGTGGAAGCTCATGTGGAGTTTCAATACCAGCACGGATTAGTTGGGCCAAATAGCTTGTTTGACTGTAGATTCTATGCAATAGAAACATTTACAATTTGTTTGTGGATAAAAGCATTTGGAAAAGGATGAATTCTTGGCTTCTTTGGAATAGGAGCCGAGTAATGTACTTGTGCATTTGGCTATATATGTAAGTTTTTAAATTTGCCCGCAACTCAAGTAGGGAATTGCCCCAGAATTATTAGCTTTGTTTGTAACAGCTTCTGCTTGCAACACATTGCTAGAAGTTCAATAATATCAAGAGAAACATTTGCAGACACACTGCACAGCTGCCTACAGTGCTCTAATTGAGAACAATACAAATATTGGTGGCGATACACTTGTGGATAAAATCAAACTTTGATTTTTATTAATCACACTGCTTATATTACAATCAATCATTTAATCTGTTCTGACGAAGGATAGTGGACCCGAAACGTTGACTCACTTTCCTTTCTCTATAGATGCTGCCTGAACTGCTGAGTGTACCCAGCGACTTCTGTTTTTGACTCAATCATATTGCCTTTTATTAAAAATATTGTGTTCATTATAGAAGAGCAAGTGGACAGAAAGTATTCCTGGACAAGATGTAACAAATACAGCACATTCGGAATACAGACTCCTCATTTTAATGATGGACGAAATATTAAAAAACCATTGAACTGGCTCCAAGAGGAGCAACTGTAAGTATATTGTAAGGATAAATGAATAAGTGGGATGTTGCTCAGGAATGTTTGAGGATAGACAAAATTAGAATATGTTTGGATAGTCATGTATATTCCCATGTTTACTTAGCCTCACCTATCCCTCTTGGCGACCACCCTGATTAAAGAAAGTAAGCTAAGTTTTAACTAGCCTACTAATATGGTGCAGAGTAACCTTTTTTTAGTCATGGCTACTGGTTTAATTGAGGTGTTCAACAGAGAATTATGTATTCAGAGAGTGAAAATAACACTAATCTCTCAGTGGCTTTCTACTTTAAGGCTATTATTCCATGGCAGTATTACTGCTTAATAAATGGCTATTAACATTTTATCACTGCTACAGTTGAGGAGTCCCATAACTTTATAAATTACAGAATTGTATCAGTCATTTAGGATTTATGAATTATAATTTATAGATTTCGGACCATAGATCTTTTTCTCAGTCAACTTTCTCACTTCTTCTGATGGGAGAAGTGCATGGTTCTATTGCTAGTGCATGGTTCTATGGTCACTAGAAATATTGTACTATTTTGCCCAAGTGGCTATCTTTCATCTGTGAATCTAGATAGGAAGTGTGGTCTGATTGTGTGACCATGAAAGGGGGTGGGGGTGTGAAGTTGGCTTTACAGTTATGCCAGTTTCTGCCTTCTATTTGATGCCTATTACACAAATACAACTTCCAGAAAGGTTCACAAGACCCTGGCAGGTTTTCCTTTATATAACAATCCTTATATTTTATACAGCATCCTTCATGTTGGGTGGACATCTCAAAGTACTTTGTAGGATTTTACTGTGTAGTGTAATGACTGTGTCGAGTGAAACTACCATACCACCACTCTAGTTGAGATTGACTAATGGCACCGTCTTGAGATTGAACCTGGAACCTTGCTGATCTGCACACCACAGCTGCATCAGTAATAATACCATAGAATCACCAGCCTGCTTAAGTAATAATTTCCAGGGCAAATATTGGCTAGATTTTTGTGTGAATTATTCAATATACAACCATTGATATATCAATATTGTTAAAAAGAGATATTGTATTCAATTATTCCCATTTTCTTTGTTTGATTTCAATAAAGAAAAAAAGGAGCAAAGATTATATCAAAAAAACTTGCTAATTTTAGAGAAAAAACACAGCATCAACTTGGAAAAGGCCTTGATCCGTAAGTCAGAATTTTATTTTTTATTTTATAGTGTTATTATTAATAGTAATGATATCTTTGCATTTGATATAGTGCCTTTCACATCAGGATGATGTCCCACAGGATTTGAAGTGAGTGACTGTATTTGAGGGCTATGTAGCAACCCAATTGTACACAGCAATGTCCCACAAACAACTATGAAATGAATGACAGGATCTCCAACAATGTAGTACTCTCCGCCCCAACAGTGCACTGAAGTGTCAATTTAGACTGTTTGAGTTCAAGTCCCGATGTGGGGCTTGAACCCATGACTTTCTGACTCAGAGTGAGAGTGCTATCAAGTGAGTCAGGCTGCCAGACAATAAATTATTATTAACACCTTGAGAACTAACGACCATAGGGAGAATTGATCCTCAAAGGTACAAGTAAAATCTGACCTTTCTGTCCTGACATTGATACTAGTAGAAAACTGGATACTCAGTGTAATAGAAAATATAACCACTTGTGTTTTTTTATGCACAAGTGTGGCAGCAAAACACAAGTAACTAAGGAGAGCCTTGACTATTCCAGTCTTCTGTTGTTTCAGGGCCTAAAGTGAATGCACTGTAGTGGGTTTTGGGGGAAGGGGAAATAAAAGTTGTTAACAAGAGAGTAGTAGAATCAAACAAGAGGAATTTGATTTAAAAAATGAAGCCAATCACTTCGCAATATAGCTCAAACTGCCAAATGAACGACTTGACTCTGATTTCATGAGAACCCTTTTATACCCCATTTATTGGGATTCCACAAACGAGGCCTTCCAGCGATAGTGGGGGATGATAATAACTGGGGGATTGGACCTCTCCATTGGGAATCACTGGCGATCAGGTAGAGGTAGATTGCCACCTTATGCTCTGGCTCCTCCCTTGGATTAAACAGTATTAGAATCAAGGTTTATGTTGTGGATTATTCCTTTCAAAATTAATTGCCATAAAACAATGGTTTGGATTTACTTGCACTGTTCTATTCTTTCAGAATTGCGGATACCATGAGGGTTTCCCCTGATCACACATTTGGTGTTTTACTGCATCCTGACGAGTATGGTAAAGATCTTAATCTCAGATGAGCTGTATGTATGAGTAAATGTGTAATATTAGAATGGAGCACAACACTAAGAGGGTTTCCTGGGTCCAATATGCCTGAAACTGATAATTTAATTCAAGTTTCTTCCTCATAATCATCTCACAATATCTATTTTGCAAATACTTCCGCTATTTTGATATCTTATTCATCTACCTTTTGATGATGTTCAGTGCTTGTAAGTTTATTTCATATTGATTGTGAGTTAAAAGAAGATCTTGATATTTTGGCTGTGGGCAGGCACAAATAATGTTCACAAACCTGTTATGTCCAGTTAATTTTGGGAAAGTTTAGTTCTGTGAAGGTGTGTGATAATCAAAAGGCAGCAATTAGAAGAGATGGCTACAGAAAAGAAAGTAATACTAACAAAATTGATGGAGGCCTAACAATTATGCCCAGCTTCAGATTCCACAATTATGCCCAACTTGGTATCCTAGGTTTTATAAATAGTGATATAGAATATAAAACTCAAGAGGTGATTTATAAATTGCTACTTAGATCATAGTTAGAATGCTGTGTCCAGCTGTGTGGAGCACTTTGAGATTTCCTCCTGACTTGAAAGGCCCTATGTATATATTTTTTATATATATGTATAATATATAAATACACAACCACAGCAGTATATCTTGTGAAGCTCTTTGATGCATCCTTCAAACATGAAAGGTCCCGTATCAAAATAAGGATTATTATTATGGAATTGCTGTTGTTGTGCCCAGTTTTGATCATCCCACTTCAAAAACAATTTAAGGGTGAGAGGGCCCAGAGAGCTTGCTGAGGAGATGTATTAGGATGATACCAGGGATGAGTAGTGTGACCCATGAGCAGAGACTGGAGGTACTGAACCTATTTTCACTGGAACAGAAAGATTGAGGGGAGACCTCTAAAATTCTGAGCAGTTTTGATAGAGTACATAGTGAAAAAATATTTTCATTTGCCGGTGAGTTAGTGACTAGAGGGCATCAAATAGAAAGTAATATAAAATGTATAATGAAACTATAAAATGAATACTGTAAAATGAAATCTTGTTGTAATGTCAGCCAACTGATGGGTCGGACGTCAGCCTTATTTTAGCAGGCGAATCTACTGGCACACAGGAAGTGTGTTGGCCAAACTTCAACCAAACCAGAGGCAGACAAGTAGTGCCTCTATATCATCCCCTCTATACTTGATTTTAAGCTTCCCAATCACCTCAGACTCCACTGTATTTGCTTTGGTGTGACTATAAATACGAAGCACACACTCATGTAGTATAAAAATTAAAAGATAATACCTGTATGTAAAATGAATCGAATTAAACTGTCAGGTAACAGATGTATACAACATTTTATATCAAAAGGGAACCTGACTGCAATACTGATGGATCAGAGCATTTAACATCCTAAGTAAGGAAGGGCAGGGAGGTGAGCAGCATCAAAAGGTTGACCTTTTTGTGAAGGAAAAGTCCAGATCAAAATACAATAAAGAATTAATATAGTATTACTGAGAACACCAAATTAGAAGACATCAGACATTGCATAAAAGTAAATTCAGGATGATTCACTTCTAACAACAACTTGCATTTATATAAGGCCCTTTAGGCAGGATAGTATCTTAGAGCACTTAAATTATCTTTATTGTATAACTTGCAACTGCATACATATATCAGACTGCATTTTAAAAAAATATTTCTTTACAAAGTTTTCTCGCAACAACTTAGTGAATATATTATTTTTCCAGGTGTTGAAGAACTTATTCATTATAGGAATCCAGACACCTTTGTTCATGGGAACAGGAGACATAAATCAATCTTCAACGCTGCAAGGCTGCACTTGAAGAATGCTAACTTCCTCAATTTCCACTCCTTGCTTGAAGGCTTTCGGCATTATGACAAGGTGAATTATTTTACTCTATTGATACTATAAGAATTATTGGACCTCTGCAATCTTGTCTTTAATCACAAGCTGGAATCAATTGATAGATTCCGATAATCACTACTGTTTTTATTACTTTTACTTAATGATTAATCTAATAATTATTTTAACATATAAAAATAGATGTTGTTGTACTTCCAAATATACATGGGCACCTAAAGCAGCTCAGAACAGAATTTCTCTCCTTTTAATGGAATTTATACGTAATGGTATCCACTTGCACTCAGTATAGTGGTTTGTAACTTGGGCATAATCAAACCTAAAGGCTAGAACTGCACTTGAGCAAGAGGAGGCTGGAGAAAATTTTAAAAAATTGGACAAAAATGAAAAAAAAATACACAAGCATAAATTAAAAAAGGTCTTAATTTTTTTAAAAAAAAGGCTGTTAAAATGATTCTTACAACAGTCTAAAAAGGTTGATTGTCAGTTACTTGAACTTACTGATGCTTTTAGCCTTGCCCTTTTGCGTTGTCTTCTCTGTTCCATTTCATATATAAGTGACACTGCCTCCACATGGGAGAATTTAGCTGCTTTGCATTTAAGTCATTTGGTTGATACAGTTGTGTTCTGTTTAGAATGGTGATGGAAAGATTGACAGAGAAGAGCTACGAGATGTCTTTTTACAGTTTAAATTGGATTTAGAGCCTGCACTCATTGATGAATTAATTCAATACTGTGACCAGGATGGGGATGGCACAATCAACTTTTTGGAATTTGCAAATTTTTTGAACCATAAAGATAGAATGCCACTTGGAAAATTGGAAGAAGCGATTATTACAAAAGGTACTAGGTATATTTTGGGGGGATTGTTTTATTAACAGGTGTAAGCATGTTTTTATTTTATATGCATAGAGACCTAGGTAAAAGACCAAGGTCAATAGTAGAGGACACCACCATGGTTGAAACAGAGTACTAAACAGAGTTAAATGTTCAACAGATCACCTGTCGCCTGAATGTGTGCCTATGAAGGATGCACTAGTGGAACCTGGAGATGTGGTACCAATAGATATTGGCAGTTCAATCAAGACATTAAGAACTGTACCAAAAGTTAAAGATTGGGCTTGTGATGAATTCCGTACTTCTGCTTCAGAGATCAATGCAGTAGTAGGGGGTCGGTCTACAGTCAGTGAGTATTGCTGTGCCTACCTTTGCATTTACCCAATTAATCATTCATTTATTCAATCATTTCAATCCTACTGTTCATTTTGCTCATAAAGAATGGCCATTTAGGTAACATGATTAGCATCTGTGGAACTATGTGTCAGTGTGAGTCTGCATCTTCAGAAGGAGCAAACAACGTGACAGTGTGAAGAAATTAAGTAAATACTATGAACATATAAAGATATGTCTAATATCTTTATGGAACAGAGACTACAAAGTATCTGATTGAGAATGATCATCAAGTGAAATATTTGCAGTGTTTTATATCTGAAACTTTACTTTGCTTAAATTTAGAATGTACTGTAATGTCCTTATTTAAAATAAAATGGCATGTTTTATTCTGAGCAGATGATCGTGCATATGGTATACCTACTATCCGTACCGATATCCCAGCCCCTCGATTTCGCAGCATCAGTGATCGGGTTAACTATGGTGATGAGTCAAATGCTCAAGGCTTGCTGAATCCCACTATATTTGCTCAAAGGGGTGTATACGAGAAAGACATTTTTATGTCAAGGTCCAAATCAGAGGTAAGTTACTGGAGGAAACATTGTACTGTTTTTAGTACAAAGCATTTACAGGAGAAGAATTCTGATAGATGAAACTTGTATTCACTTGTATTTATCAATCCAGTATCCAAATTGCTCACACAATTTAATACTTAAAAGATTTTAATAATAACATTTTGATTTTATTGTGAATTTTGTAATGTAAAAGCATAGAGAAACTTCACCCTTAGACTGTCGATCAGTTCTGAGCAGTTTTAATTCATGTTAAACTGACAGGCATACTGGCTGACTACTACACGGTATATGTATAATATATATAGAGTAGAATTGTTACACTTCAAGTATTGCTTGAGGAGGTTTGAAGTGGAGTGCTGTAGCATAGTGGTTAGCGCACTTGCTTTGCAAGCAAGAGGACTTGGTCTTGATTACTGGGGAGGACGAAACCTTAGGCAAGTTTCCTTACTCCAGACGTCTCTGATTATCTAGCAGTAAGTAGGAACACGGTTGTTAGTCAATTGGCAGATTACTTTCTGGGGGTAATAACCCCACCAAAATAATTAATTAATTAATAATAATTTGGCCACTCAATCCATGACTGTTTGTGGACCACTCCTACGTAAATTGGCTATTGCTTTTTGCCCACAAAATACACAGTCACTACACTTTACAGTATATCCTGTGAAGCACTTTGAGATGTTTTGAAGACATGATGAGGCGCTATATCAAACGTAAGGATTATTATTATGTGGGCAACTAAAGCAGCTCAGAACAGCATTTGTTTCCTTTTCATGGAATTTATACATAATGTTATCCACTTTCACTCAGTATAGTGGTTTGTTTGTTTTAGTGATGATGATACAGAAGCATTCTGTGATTTGTTCACAGAATATTTGAACATTAGTATTTTACTCTCTTGTCTTCGCATTATGAGCATCTAATTGTTTAATTGTTGCTCATAAACCCCTATTTTTGCCTTTAAAAAAATTATTTTTATTGATTTATTTAAATTTTACAAAATGTTGTTAATTCTGGAGCAGTAATTTGATTGAAAATACTGAATCCATGTGGCAGTGGTGTTTACTTACCTCTCAATTTTTGTTTCTGTTTCATCAGATTGTAAGCATATTTTGCGCCATGGGAGTGGATCTTCCCAAGGAGAGTTTTGATCAGGTGTGGGAGCTAGCTGCTCAGAAACATCCCGAGGGAAAAGTGTGCGTGGAGACATTCCGTAATGTTTTGGATGAAATGCAAGCATCATATATTTTATCTTGTTGATTAAAGTGAATTTCATTACAGAATTTAAGATCTTTTATTTTACACGCATTGCATATGCAGTTTCATGATTATGTAAGCAAATTAGTCATGTACTTTGTTTTACTACCAGAAATAAAGACTCCACTTGGACAAAATTCTGACTTGCCTGACTTTATTATAAATGTGTGGAAACCTGGCTGTTAGGAAAATCGGCAGAGTTTACAGTTGATTTTAGTTTGATTCTAATTCACATTACTTTTAAGTGTATTTGTAATGACCGTTTGAATGTTTAACCTGTTTGCTATCAGGTCTGTTAGTAGTCTGATCACTGAGTGTACTGTTCTGAATTGTAACATTGAAATATCACCATGAAGTCTACATTTTTATCAAAACTAAATCAGACTTTTTGCCAATGGATCAGACAGAAAATCCAACAAGTCACCTTTGAGTCCATTTTATCAGTGTTATAACTTGCCAAGGTTTGCATGAGTTGGGATTTTAACATTTCAAAAACAGATCTGCATAAATAAGATAGCGAGCGCTATTTTGTTCACTAGGAAACGGTGAATTTAAGTATTATTTCTTTATACAGTAAAAATATTTCCAGCTACTCAGTCAGTCAGTGACCAATCCTCTGTTATCAACACATTTGTCTATGTGACTATTTTCAGCCACAGCTATGTTCTTCCCCTTCTTACACTAGAAACTAGGTCATGAAAATGTCCTGACATGAAAGGCATTATGTAAATATAAATTTGTATGTTATTGTGTTGTATTTTTTACTCTTAAAAGTAATGTGAATAGCAGTTTTTCTGTCAGTGTTAACAAAAAAATCTCTAGTATCTTTCAGCACGATTTCTAAATTGAGCTCCAAATTAGAGCAGTCACCATAGAACATTGAGCACAAGTTTACCACAATCACTGCAATCCAAACTCAACACTGATGTGTGAAATTCTTTTTGCAACTGAATGCGATTTTTCATTTAATTGTGTGTGTTTATAAGGGGATTTTCTCATTATAAGATCACTGCACTTAGTGGCAAGAGGAATTTCTTACCCCATGTTTATTTGTGAGACATAGCAACAACTTACTGCATAACAGCAGCATCCAAACAGCTATAACCTCAATCTGCCAGTCCCTCACACATACACAAAACATTTCAGTGCGTGATCTTAAGAACATAAGAAAAGTTGGGAAGGAAAAATTAAACCACACCAAAGCCTATCCTTTGAGGTTATTGACACTCGCATTAGATATGTGACCTTTAACCTCTTTAACCCATCATCCCCTGTCCTCTACCCCATTTTCTCCTTTGTTTTCCTTGTCCCTGCCTCCCCCCTCTCTGTTAGCCCTTAAAAGCCTCTCCCTCTCAACATGCCCCAGTTCTGACGAAGGGCCGTGAACCTGAAACGTTGATTCGCTTTCTCCATAGATGCTGCCTGTCCTGCTGAGTGTTCCCAGCGACTTCTGTTTTTTGTTTCGCATTAGATATGTCTGAATAAACTTGATGCCATTTTGGATCTATTGCTTTGGTTGGCATTCCAAAATATTTAACATTTTCAGGAAATACTTTGTTCCCAATAGTTGTTCTAAATTAACTTTCCATGAATTTCCATTTATGTAATTTGCTAATTTGATTGATTTTGAAGTAAATCAATTTCCTCATGTATGCAATGACACCCAACTCTATCTCTCTGCTTCCACCCTCGACTCCAGGACCACTGCTGACAGAATGTCTGTTGGACATCAAGTCCTGGATGAGAGCTAACTTTCTTCAGTTAAATGTCAACAAGACCGAGGCTCTCCTGATTGGCTCCCGTCAGCTCCTCCACACCTCAGGCACTGACAGCGTCACCATCCATGGTTGCACACTCCACCTCACTAAGCCAGTCCAGAACCTTGGGATCATGTTTGACCCTCAACTATCCTTTCTAACCCCACATCCATGCCGTGCCCAGCTCTGCCTTCCCCCACCTCCGTAACATTGCCTGGCTCCACCACGGTCTCACCCCTCAGACCGCTAAAATCCTCATACGTGGCTTCATTACGTCTAGGCTCGATTATGCCAACTCCCTGCTTGTCGGCCTCCCCGACTCTTCCTTCCACATGCTGCGGATCATCCAGAACCCTGCAACTCATGTCTTCTCCCGCACCAGGCTCCGTGACCCCATTACCCCTGCCCTCGCCCGGCTCCACTGGCGCCCTATCCCCCAGAGGATAGAGTTCAAAATCCTCGTCCTCACTTTCAACGTCCTCCATGGCCTTGCCTCTCCCTACCTCTGCGGCCCGCAAACCCCATACCAACCTCTCTGCTCCCTTCGCTCAGCAGGCTGTGGCCTGCTCGACCATCAGCGGCCGGACCTTCAAACTTTTTGCCCCCACCCTATGCAACTACATCCCACATTCCCTTTGCCTCACTCCCTCCATTACCTCCTTCAAGGCATGCCTCAAAACCCTCCTTTTTGACCAAGACTTTGGCCACCCTTCTACCCTCCCTGCCTTCCACCCTGCCCGAACCCGATTCCCAGCTCGGATCCAAATCCCTGACTGTCGAGACCTTGGGATGTCCTTCCGACGTGAAAGGCGCTAAACATATGTCATTTTGTATTGTATTGTAAATAATATACTGGGATAATTTTATTTAAACCAATCTTTCTAGGGGAGAAGGAGGAAGGTTCAGAGGGTCTCCTTGGAGCTGAATTTGGGACAAGTAACTGGCTCGTTGGGAGCAGGAATTTATCTCTTGTTAAGCCCAGAAGCCAGAGCTGGAACAGCCAGAGTAGTCCCAGCTGAACAAGCAGCAGGAAGCTTGATAGACGAGGGTAAGCTATGTAGTTTAACTGGTTAAACTCCAGCAGTACCCCAACGCAGACTCTGAAGTTCCCAAGATTTAGCTCTTGGCAACTTGTTCCTAATAATAGTGTTTGAAATTGGGTAAACAGGACAAGTCCCTCTGGGGAGAGAGTACACATTCCCGTTGATATTGGAATTTCCATGTGTAGTTGACATACATGGAACTCGGACTGGTTGGATTATCTTTGAGGACTCATTCTGCTAACCTAAATCCAAAACGTATTAAGTGCAGGTAATAATAATAATCCTTGCATTTGATATAGCACTTTTCACATCTTCTAGACGTCTCAAAGCGCTTCACAGAATACACTGTAAAGTGAATTGACCGTATATTTGTGAGTGAAATGCAGCAACCAATTACCCACAGCAGTGTCCCACAAACAGTCGCGGATTGAAGTGACCAATTTATTATTGTTTTTTTTTCTTGAGGGATTATTATCAGGCGTGTGGAGTAAGGAAACTTGCCCAAGGTTTCGCCCTGCTGGGAAGCAAACCCAGGTCTGTCACTTGCGAAGTGAGTGCTCTTGTGCAAGTACTTCAGGTGCAATATGGTGAGAGACAAGACTTGAGAGCACCAAAGGGTGCGTTAGGATACTGAGAGTTTAACCAGCTAAACCTATGTAGCTTGACGCTGCAAACACTGCCTGGTAAGCTTTCTGCTGCTTCTCCAAGTGTTACCATCCTATCTGTTAGGATTTTGGTAGGAAAAGCCCTCAGAGAAGCAGGGTGCATGTCTCTGGAAAGAGAGTGCACACTCCATGATGGATAAATGGATACATATTTGGAACTCTTAAGTAATTTGGTTTGGAGACTCTTAACATGTTGGAGTTTCTGCGGGTGGCAGAAACTTATCTGACTGAATCAGATCGCCAAGCTTGTTCCTCCACAGGTGTCAATCTAGTTCAGTTGGTTAGACCCTTATCTCTGCAGCAGAAAATCATGGATTCAAGTAACAAGGACTTGGAGTTTGTGGTCTGGGTTTTGCCATAAATTAGTGAAGTGCAGGTGGAGGGCTGAATTATCAGAGTTACCATCCTTCAGATGAAATGTTAAACTGAAGTTTTGTCTGCCTGTTTAGATGATCACTAGATATCCCTTGACACTACTTGAAAATAAAATAAATTTTTTCCTAGCATCCTGAACAAGAATTCTCGAATTGGTCATTCATATGTGGCCTTGTGGAATTTGCTGTGGTAAATTGGCTACTGGATTTGCTTACAAATACACAGCCACTACATTTTTTAGAGAAAATGCTGATTCATTTTGATGTGATAAGGTTCTATATAAAATGAAAGGATTATTATCTTTTAATAATACTTGCATTTAGTACAGAGCCATATCATGTCAGAAGGATATTTCAAGGGCCTCACAGGATTTCCTGGGAAATGGCATGAGAATTTGTAGGCAAGCACAACAGCACAATTGTGCACATCAATGTTCCACAAACAGCAATGAAATGAATGACCAATTTTTATTTGGGGGAATTATTGGCCAGGTGAAACTCCCTTCTCTTTTCAAAAAGCGCCATGGGAGCTTTAACGTCCATTAGTACAGACAAACAGGATCTCAGTTTAATGTCTCATCTCAAGGATGGCACCTCTGACAATCCAAACCCCCCACCACTGTATTGGAGCATCAGCTTAGACAATGTGAGTTCCAAGTCCCAACGTGGACTTGAATCCATATCCTACTGACTCGGAGGCAAGAGCGCTACACTTTTTTTTAATATCTGAAGCCCATTCATTATCTTGCTCTTTCTGTATTATTATTGTTATTATCTTGTCTAACCTAAATGTATATTTTGATGGCGGTAGTGCTCAAAAATGAACAATGATTTTGTTTCCCATGCACTAAAAAATGTCTAACCACTGCTGACGTTACTTCCTGCATGCTGGCATATATTTTACAAACTAATAATGTGGAAATCAGTCATTTTATAGTGCTGGAGGCAGCCGGCATATGGAAAGTGAACTGTTCAGCTGTACGCATGTTCCAGTGAATGTTAAATAATAATAATAATAATAATCCTTGCATTTGATATAGCCCTTTTCACATCGGGAGGACGTCCCAAAGCGTTTCACAGAACACACTGTAAAGTGAATTGACTGTATATTTGTGGGCGAACGCGGCAGGCAATAGCGCACAGCAATGTCCCACAAACAGTCGTAGATTGAAAATGACCAATTTTATTATTGTTTTGGGTTTTGGAGGGATTATTATTAGGCTCTGTGTGGAGTAAGGAAACTTGCCCAAGGTTTCGCTCTGCCTGGAATTGAACTCAGGTCTCTCACTTGCAAAGCG